ATCAGAATTACGACCCAATCGAGTTTTTGTCCATCGGCAATCCTGAAAGAGCAAATTAGGCTTCCAGTGAGACCTATCTAATGAGTATGCATGGCGGCATTCCATTCCCAAGCGGCTCTCTCCGCGTGGAGGCTGATTAGAGACGTTGAAGGCGGGGGAAACTCCGACAGGTTCATTCCATTCTTCTTTGAAACAAATATTTCTTGGAAAAAGTTCCAAATGTCCTTCCGATCCTGGAAGGTAAAAAAAAGCCAAGGTCTGCCAAGGCCTTGAAACCATAGCAGGCCATGGCCTTTCTCCGGATCTCCTTCCTCCTCGTTTCATCTCATCACCTGACAGGCGTTTAAAGGGATTTCAACGGATTTCCCTCGAATTGCATGGCTTAATAGGATAAACGCTTGCAATCCCATCGCGATCGATACCAGTGTCATTGAACGCCTTGATCGCCTCGAACCTCACCCATATTGATCCCATCCCCCCCCAGCCCGTGCAGCATAATTCACGTTTGCTCTGGGAAGCCAAGAGGAAATCCGATCCCGGCGAAACTCAATCTTCTGCCGCAGTAGTCATTACGAACTTGCCAGGCGGGCATCTAAAAAATTATTCTGCTACGTCACGAACGAACTGAATATTTTAAGCTGTAATGTCCCGATCCTCATGAAGGCAATTTCTATGAAGCCGATTCCCATCTTCGTCATCATCATCATCAGTCTATATTTTGGGATGGAGTCGAGAGATTCCTTGACTGTGGCAGAGAAGGGCTCTACGTATCCATTCTTGTTACGGAGGGTGATTCGGGATCTATATCATTCAGATATCAGGATATATATATATATATACTCTTTCTGGCACCTTGGTCTCCATCCATCCCAATCTACTCCTAATCCATCCATTCTTGGTTGCCTTACACTTCGGATGTTGGCATGTACGCAGGCGTGTTTCCGTTTTGCGTCTTAAACGGGGCGCAGGTGCAAAGTGTCAGCCGTGTATCAACCGAGTATCAGCTGCTTTTTCGAAACTTTGTCCAGTAAATTAGGATTTGTAGTATGTGTCAGACCCGAAATTGAACAGGACTGGAATTTGCAGATGAGATTCATGAGGCGTCATGCAATAAAATAATGATAATGCAACATCCCCATTCCCGTCGTGTACGCGAATCCCCCGGGCCCAGACCTCCTTTTCCCCCTCCCCCCCCCCTCCCCCCCCCCTTTTTATTTGGAATGTCCTGGAATCGCCTAATCGTGACGAANGTGACTCCTTTTTCTTTTTCAGTTCGACATTTTCCTTGTTTTCGCACGGCATTGCGACGAGGCTTTGTGTCCCCTTCCCCTTTTCTTCCGGTTCGATTAGCTCTTCGCCCGATTCGTCCCATCTGGTTTTGACAGGGTCTGCAAGGAAAGTGTGATGCTTTTTTTTTTTTTTCCTCCCCTTTCAGGCAGGAAGGGTGCAAGTTCCAGAAAATAATTCGATTCTATTCTCTGCAGCATGTCTCTGGGGATATTTTTTCTTGCGTTGAAATTAGATTAGGTTTACAACGAATCGAGATCGCAATTCAGTTTTTTTCCTTCAGGACATGCCTATCTGAAGTACAAGAAAAAAATATTTCCTGCCTTTCCCTCGGGTTATGGAGCTTGAAAGACTCCATCGGAACGTGCTCTTATTTGATTTATCGACGGATTTGCGAAACAGAAACGTCACTGACACCGTTAAATTCCCATTATGTCATCCCCCGCCGACAAGCCTGCAAAACAACTCTGGAATAGGGCTGCCACCTTTCCTTCTTCGTCCTGTATAGACCTATAAAATTTCAGAATAGAGTGTCAAAAAAAAACGAGAGAAGTAATAACCTCTTCCCGGAAAGACCTGTAAAGGCACGTAACAAGGCGGAAAAAAACATGTTTCCTCGGGTCTACTCCGTTCCTTGAGGGATGTGGTTCCTGGAAAATTAATTTCTAGGAATAACTAGTTTCAGTAGACTTTCCTTGACCTTTATATAATTACGGGAAAAATGAGCCCCCTTTTTTTTTTTCTTACATTACTGTATCTAGGGCAATTCGATCCTCCCGAAGAAGGAACGAACGCCGGAAAGTTCATTTCCTCGAGAGTTCATCTTCTTGAAGGTCGATTGCGAGCGATGGCTTAATCAATGCCGGTTCACAGGGATCGGTTCCAGGTGTTTCGGAGCATGAATCCATTTTAAGACTTCTTCTCGAGGCGCTCACTATAGAAGAAACGAGGGATACGGGCGAAAATCCTTTCCCCTTGCCATTCTTTTTGCTATTTCTCTTGCAATTCCTCTTGCCATTCCTCTAGTGATTCTCCTTGCTATTCGGCCTCGTTTCCCTCTCCTAATCATAATTTTTCTTATAAATCTCATCTGGATGGAAGCGCGAAACCATGAGACGATTCTCATCACGAACCCCCTTTTACCCCATTCACAGGGTTTCATTGACGTCACGAACGCATTCCGGCCTCGGCTCCCAACGATGCTCTTTCCCTAGGCTAATTAAAGGCAAACAGACGGCAACGAAGACAATCTCCCTCGAGGAGAACAGGAAGCTTCTTCATCTGGTGAATTTCCGGGACATCTTCCTTCCAGCCTCTTCGTCACGATTAGGCGATTCCAGGACATTCCAAATAAAAAGGACGAAAAAGATGACAGTAGTATCATGTTCTCTCAGGGGGCTCATTTTTCCCGTAATTATATAAAGGTCAAGGAAAGTCTACTGAAACTAGTTATTCCTAGAAATTAATTTTCCAGGAACCACATCCCTCAAGGAACGGAGTAGACCCGAGGAAACATGTTTTTTTCCGCCTTGTTACGTGCCTTTACAGGTCTTTCCGGGAAGAGGTTATTACTTCTCTCGTTTTTTTTTGACACTCTATTCTGAAATTTTATAGGTCTATACAGGACGAAGAAGGAAAGGTGGCAGCCCTATTCCAGAGTTGTTTTGCAGGCTTGTCGGCGGGGGATGACATAATGGGAATTTAACGGTGTCAGTGACGTTTCTGTTTCGCAAATCCGTCGATAAATCAAATAAGAGCACGTTCCGATGGAGTCTTTCAAGCTCCATAACCCGAGGGAAAGGCAGGAAATATTTTTTTCTTGTACTTCAGATAGGCATGTCCTGAAGGAAAAAAACTGAATTGCGATCTCGATTCGTTGTAAACCTAATCTAATTTCAACGCAAGAAAAAATATCCCCAGAGACATGCTGCAGAGAATAGAATCGAATTATTTTCTGGAACTTGCACCCTTCCTGCCTGAAAGGGGAGGAAAAAAAAAAAAAAGCATCACACTTTCCTTGCAGACCCTGTCAAAACCAGATGGGACGAATCGGGCGAAGAGCTAATCGAACCGGAAGAAAAGGGGAAGGGGACACAAAGCCTCGTCGCAATGCTGTGCGAAAACAAGGAAAATGTCGAACTGAAAAAGAAAAAGGAGTCACGTTATTTTACCTTGCATGCTTGAGGAGCCAACCCTCGTCTTCCTCGGTCTCAAAATATTCATGGGCTCTGGGCTGCATCAATCGTCGCCGTATCTCGTTCTGATTTTTCGATTTTTTTTTACTTCGTCATTCTCGATCATCCCGGGGGTGTCAGACGCTATCGCGAACGGGGGAATATTTAATGCATTCATGCTTGCTAATATTTATTGTTATTTCCATGTAGTATTTATTAATTAATCCTTCTATAGAGGGAATTTTTCATGAATCAAAAGGGAATTATGCCGCGGCGTGATTAAGTTTCCAAAGCAGTTATTCTGAAAATTCACGTAAAAAAAGGAAAGTTCAAATAAGGATTCAGGTCTTGACATCTCGTCGAGTCAAAAAAAAAAAAAGAAACCAAAGAACCTACGAAGGCCTATAAGGTTTATGGCATGGGAGCCTCTAATGCAGACTAAGATCCCTGTAATTACAGATATTAGGACGACCTGGAATGACCTGGAATGACCTGGGACAATAAATCCTGCTATTCTTTTCGTGCGGTCGATTCCCTTTATCCCAGCGACTACCTCTATCGTAATGACACGTAGAAATCCCGTTGACCAATCGACTCCACTGAATCGATTGACATCCCGGTTATTGTCTCTCAAGTCGAGTGATTTGAGATGATTTTGTGCATTCAAATTCCTTTGACACTATCGTTGAACTTGGAGTTGTGTTTCCGTTGCCTTTCGTTGGGTTGGGCCCGTTCACCATTTAGTCTTCATGTTGCTTCATATGCATATGAAACATGTTTCATATGTATCGCTTTGTTTGTATTCCTGTGCCAAGATGCACAGCCAGAGAATTTAAATGGAGTCTATGCAGTTTCTATAAATTAAGCATGATTTTGGCTAACAGGAACTCTTAGGTATCATCATGTGCAAAGGGTCCAATCGTCATGCCCCAACCCTAGTGGCACCTAACATTGAAACAAAATGGATTCAACATGTTGATTCAATGCTATGTGCTACTAGGGAAGTTGAAGGGGATTGGGATGAATCCAGGAAAATCCAATAAATTTCTTGCCCTTTAATTTTGTGGTAATTGAGAAAGCACAGCCACTCACGAGAGGGGAAAATCAGAACCTGCTTGCACGCATTTCACGAAGTGGAGAGAGCGATGGAATACTTGATGCGAATTTAATTTCCGACCTAATGGTTCCTTTCGGAACCAGCCTGAAATTGAAGAGAGTGCGTCTTCAAAGTAATTCCTTTAATATGTTCCCTGAAGATAGCGTCATCAAATTACTACTAATGGCTTGGGTGCAGGTAGCCATAAAAAAAATTCCTGCTTATATCTGCTTGCTCAGTGATTGACATCTGACGGTGGTCGCCCATGGCAACCAAACTGAAGCCTGTCGCTCACGGCAACTAAACTGAGACGCAGAATTAAGGGACAGTCTGCATTCTCACAATCTCGGAACAGTGAAGATCTTGCAATATCTGTCGTCGAGACGCAAACCCAGAACATCAAGAGCCCAACTCGCGCCCAACCGCGCAAAACTGCCCCAAAAATGCCCCATTTGAAGATTTCCCCCTCCCTCGTTGCAGTTCCGGTGGAGGCAGCCGTGATCGGGGGGTCCTTGGTCATCCTCCTCACTTTTCTCCTCGCCCTCTACACCTACCTGAGCAGAAGGAGGCGGAGTCTCGAGAAGACATGCTCCAGGTGTGGACATAAGGATTGCGCTCCCCGTGAGTTCCCTTTTGGCTATTTTTGTTTTTTCAATTTTTGATCATCGTCACGTTTGAGAAGAACGTGTTCGAGTAGGCCATCTATATTTAGTCTGGTAGCGATTCGTAGGTTATCTGTCGGTGAAAAAAAGTATTAGGCTTTCCTCTTTGACGAGATTCCAAGAAAGATTCAGAGTTGCCTTGGAAACGCATGAAACAAAATATTAATATATATTTTTCAAATCTCTTTTCCTCTTAATAACCTGCAGCTCTCTTCCCGGGAACCTCATGATCCAAAGGCTTCCAAGGCTTAATGTGCATCTGGACTCAGGAATATTCATGACATAAAGGAACGCCTGCGCCTTCATTGTCTCCAGCTCTCACGAAAAACAAAATACACTCTCTCGGGTGAATGGTCACAAAATAGGAAAGAGAACTCAAGCATCCTCGAGCTTGATGAGGTCTCGGTTTCTGAGGGAATCGGGGTCATTCATCACGAGGATTCTGATATCCGAGACCACAGCGTCACGTGGGAGCATGATTTTTATTATCCATTAATTATCCATATCCATCGAGATGATTCACGCGACGTGCTCATTCGGATGGGAGGAGATCCAATTAACTTCCGTATCATGATTCCCTTCCCTGTCATAACCCAATTATGGCGCGGGAGGAATCGATGGTTTCTCTTTCGATTCCAGCCGCTTCGAATTTCAGATCAGTGCATAATGTCCCGGCCTGAGCATAATGTCCCGATCAGAGCATGATGTCCCGCCTTCATAGAGGGTTTAGCACGCATAGGGTCGATCAATGAATACAAGATTGAACAATTTATAACCTGGGATATCTCCTTGAATATGGATTTGAACTCGGGCAATGTGTGAATCTGCTCAAAGTAGTCCCAGTGAGTTTGACAGAGTTGCAAATTAAGCTTTTCGAGTTCACGGTCGCCAAAATATGTGGTGGGCCAAAGGTCAGTTGCCATTGTCCTTTTCTGTCCTAGGTTGGACGTGAATAATGACGCATAAGCTTACAGGGGAACATTGAGTTTACATTGAGTATCAAACATGCTGCCAAACAAGCTCATCGATTGACTGAGCCCATATATTAATTGATTGTTAAGCACGACCAAATTTCAAACACTCTTAACATGCTCACTGCCACGAAAAATTTGGGGGAAAGGGCTCTTCAAGCCATTCTGTAATTATTGCCTGACAGTGTGCCCAACCATCTCCTGTAATTTGATCAAAACCGTTTTTTTTTTTTGCATGAGCACTCAAAAACTATTTTTTTTTTTAAACCACATACTGAATTATTTTCTTTTGTTTTCTGAATTCAACGCACATAACGCTGGAAGGAAAATACAGTGCATCCAATTTAATACACTTGCTTGAGAGAGAACTTGTGTATTTTGGTTTTTTTCTTGTTCTTAGGTTAGTATTTGTGCTCTAAGAATACAAATAGTTGCTGCGTAAAGTCAATCTTGAATATTGATTTAGAACATTTACCTGGAGAAGCGAAGCAATAGTTTTTATCAGAGCCATTTTTTTGAATTAGTAATGAACTCGTGCTTTGGTTCTTACCTCCCTTACCTCCCAATAACTGAAAATATTTTCAAGGGTAGAGTTTTTTAGGCATATAAAGAAAAGACAGTACAAGAAATAGATTGATAAAGGTGATTTCATTTAACAACTATTTTTATGATGTCAATATTCAAATTCTTTCTACTTTCTTTTATGTTATGCTGAAGTGATGGTAATATTTTTTGTAGCGATAAAAAAATCTCCTATCTATTCGTGGTAGTTATTTCTCATTTTTAATCTAGAGTTTTTAAATCCCAAACTTTAGAAAATGTAAACTAATATTGCTGTATCTCCCTACTAAGTGTAGCATCTAGGTCCTAAGAATTATCAATTAATTATGCAATGAATTCAATACCCGAGGTACCGTGGAACCAGCGCCAAGTGCATTGAAATCAATGCATGCGTCAGTGTTGCGGGGATTACCCCAAGTTTGGAAGCATAAGCTTCTGGCAACTTCCTTTTGAGCCACTTAATACAAACAGCTCCAACAGACATAATTTTCGTTTCTATTCCAGGAAAGAAGCAGGAGACTCGGCGAGGGTCGTGGGATACCCTGTGGCAGACCCACCCCTACCATGCCTTCAGATACACCTATACAGGTGGGCGAAATATTATTTCCCTCTATTGCAGGGGCATTCCCTCTAATGAAAGGATATTCGCTCTAATGAAGAGATATTTCCTCGAATGGGGAAATATTAAGGCGATGAATCAAAATCCATGACATCGTCCACTATTCGAGGCTCGAATAAAACCGATCGAAAACTGAAGGATATTACCAGATTTGAAGGCATGACATTTGGTCACCGTGGTGCCAAGTGACACCTTTTAGAGATGTTCCTTGCGGTCTGGACAAGTGATTCGGATACGAAATTTCCAACTTATGAAGCATCTTCGGAAACTCTACAATGGTTGCTTACTTCCTGGAAAGCCTGTCTTTATATATCTCTAAATCATATATTTATTATATTTATATCCTTATTTTCTATACTCATTTTTTGTCGCAGTTTTTTCATCATATTTTTGTATATATATATCAGCGCAGCAGACACACAAGGGTCAATCCTTCCTTCCCTCAGTTTCCGTCATTCCCGCATGGCGATCGGGAACAAGAGAACAAAACGTGCATGCATACCCAGTCAAAAATTTTTCGTCGGGCCATCATTGGCTTTTCGCCGACGCGCATATAAGCCGTAGTTGGGCCACCATTGCTATATGGTTGGCTCACGGTTGGTTTAAGCCGGCTTGGGGGTGATGAGAATGCACCTTTTGAACTCTTACGGCTCCTTCATCTGGTAGAGATGAAGGAGCAGGATCTTATCTGAGGACCTTACACAGGTACACTCCTACCGCCAAGAAAATCCCAAGCAACTCCCCTTCTGGATGTTGAGACATCTGGGAGCGGAATCATATGGGAATGCGAGGGTATCCGTCTTCCCACGGAAGGTTAGACACACCTTACATGTACCTAGGTAATTAAACGCGAAGGACAATGTCTTTGCATGGAGATAATATAGTGTCGTTGCTGAATGTGGAAAGGAGAAGGATCCTCCCACGGACCTCCGGACCGGAAATTCCTGGTTTATTCCAGAGCAAGGTTACATCTTCAGAGAAATGTTAAAAGGAATTCAATTGTCTTCCTCTGAGATCTATATGAGAAACCATAGGGAACCGCGTCAAAGGAACAGGGGACTCATCTCAGTAATATACAGGGAGTGAATCCCCACTACGACCACTTTGGCTCCATCTCACGCCGGTTTTCGGAACCTTCTCAGCCACATTGGCCTATCTTCAGCGAATGATCTTCACAAGTGACTCACAAATGTGAGTTGGCCTGCCAATCGCCGAAAATGGGACAACTCCTTCAGCAATGGCCCGAAGATAAACCAACGAAAATTTTTGACTGGGTAGACGAGTGAAAAGTTCAAGTTTTATTTTATTTTATTTTATTTTTTAAAATGCGAAATAGTGATCTATCCCTTCACCGACTTCTCCGCTACCATTCAGGGAGTTTTTCTGAAAGTTCCTGAAATTTAAAGGAAATTTCTCAGAAACATTCGTGAAAAGCAGGTGAGGATATTTCGCTTCTCATTCAGATTCAGGAATAATTGTTTTTAAACAAAACACCATGAGTGTGAGGGGGACGCCTTTCAAACTTCTTACTCTCAGATATTCCCTATTTCGCTCAAATTTCGAACTCGTTGAGCCTCGAGTAACCTGCCAGCAACCCCAACGCAACCGACCCACCATCCAACTGCGTACCTCTTGGTGATGAGGACACTCGCGCCAAATTCCATTGCAAATTTTTTCAATTATCGCGGGGAGAAACAAAAGTTCAACATTTCCTAGCTTGATTTTCTTCTCTCAACCGAAAATAATTCCGAATTAGTTTCCTCGATGAAAATGCAACCTCCCGTAAAATATGCCCCGATGAAACCAGCGAATGATGAAATGTCTTCCAGTCGAATGCACTCGTCTCTGTCGGCAATGGAACGAAATATTTTTCTCGGTTCCGTCCAACTGGCAGGCATTCAAATGGACTTGAAACATCTCGTCATCGTGAGATCGATCATCGGCATTAAATCTCCGTCAAATCACTCAGACGTGAAAGATCTGGACGTCCGAGCTCTCCTGGTGGACCTTGGAAAGGACATGGAAAGGGACTTCACGTGCAGGGGGAAGAACCCCGTGGTTCCGGGGGGAAAAAAAAATTGGTAGAAAACCTCGCGGCATAATGAAAAACTATGGTGTGTCAAGGAAAGGAGAATAGGAAACGCAGGTGTGGCTCTAAAAAATTCAGGGACTCCTTCTAGGCAATATATGAGATCACTGGGGAGTAGGATGAGGAGAAAAGAGAAGTTGCGGAAGAGGAAGAAATGAGGTTAACGGCCAATAATGGGAAAGGTTGGGGTTTATGTGGTTTAGATGAGTCCCACAGAGCCCTAATGTAATATATTGTACCTCGTGTGATGAACCTATGGTTCCCCGCAGTGAGAGATATTGGATCCCCCCGGTTGTGAGAGAGACCCATGGCTTCAGTTGATCTTCAGCCTGTTTTGTCTTGGGAATCGGCACGATGCTGAGGGGAATTGGGTAAAGTGATTTGGAGCAAAGTGGCTTGGAACAAAGTGGCTCGGGGGCAGAGAGGCATCTTGTCTGTTCGCACAGGGTTTTTAGCTTCCAGTTTCTCATGACGGATTTCGATCGATTTCTGGGCGATTTCCCTTGCTCACGCTCGAATGCCCCCATTTTTTAAATCCGCGTTTTGCATAATGTGGATTCAAAAGGGGGAAATGGGGCAACATCGAAGAGGAGTCCGTGTGTGGAAGCTAGCCAAGGGAAAATGAGCAAATAAATTCAATAGATACTTTTTTTTTCTTACCCCGTTGTAAAAAATACATATATAAAACTCTCTAGATTCCCACACTGGCTCTACAGAATTCAGTAGGCTTGTATAAATGATATTCCTCAAGGTCACCAAGTCTTTCTCTGTTGTTCTCATTCCCTGCTCCTGAGGTTTCGGACCAGTAGTGTTCATATACTTTCGGATACCTGAAGTAGAACAATAAATTCACACCCCCCCCCCCCCTCTGCCTCTCAAGCTCAAGGTAGTGGTAAGGATCAGGATCTACTGATATGAGGAAGTTTCTGACTGATTGATGAACCTCGCGAACCTAGCATCGATATGAATTCCTTGCAGACTGGATTCTGTTGACTTGCGGAAGACTTTCCCTTTAATCTTTGAGGACGATCCCGGGGATTTCCCCCCCGGAAATAAATATCTCGGGCGGATGCTGGTGCATTTTTTTCTTCCTTTGGTAGATTCCTTCCCCTTTTCGGGAGTTTTTTCTTTCCTACGCGTGGTCTCGTAAAGATGAGAATGCGCATCGATTTTCGACTGATTTTGTTGTTCGTGGGCAAGAAATGTGAAACCGTTTTCCGTCTCCGATGAATTCGGAGGACAGGTCATGTTTCGCCCTCCTTTTGTCTTCAAATTAAGACCGATAACCTTTCTCCTGTCCTTGTCTCTATCTGGAGGAACTGACAGAAAGTGGGTGTAACTCATAAAATAGGGATAAAGGTAAATATAGGCATTGACCAGTGCAGAAGACATCGGAGCGCGCTTGAGAGACTCGGAATGCAGGGTGCCTAGTAATTAACGTCAATATACTGCGACGTTCAAAGGCCCTCATCGCTTTTCAACACATCTTGCTTAAAAAAAAGAAAGGTATTTACTATCTTCGTTCAGATCTGTGTTTGGTTTTTATCCAAGAGCATATGAATTCCGCCCTTACGAACCACTCTATAGGAACCCCATCAGAACCCCATAATAATACAAATAGCTCCTCAACAAATTACCACACGTGATAATTCGGGACTCGGGATGAAGAATTACCCCGCCACCCCTTAATCGCTGCTCCATTCGATGCGCAGACGTCAAGGTCTGCACTTCTCGCGCCGTTACTGGAACGGGAAATGTGTGCATATTGCATGAGGTGTTCAATTAGCCCTAGGAACCACGAGTTGGAAAGATGAGCATAGTAAATAGCATAGTCATTTCAATGCACGCAATTTGCGGGAGAATCCTTACATGGAGGGTCCGGTTAGTATCTCAACGTGTTAATATAATTGTAGCTATTTAATGTATCAGCTAGACACCCCGGATAATGAACACAATCACTACCTTGCATTCTCGAGGAAAAACTATCACGTGCAGGGTTTCAGTGAAAGTAATTAATCTATTGCATTTATGTAATCATAGTGGAAACTAGAAATCTGTGCGACAAAATTTGAGAAGTGGCTAAGCCGTGATCGGTGGTTCAGGACCGCAATCACAAAATCGGCTTTTGCCTCGAACGGCAGCGAATGTGTTCTAGGTCCAACAGCGAATCCTTTAAGGGGGGATATATAATCCCGAGAGGGGTAAAAAAATTTCCAGAACTTTCCTTCCCCCCACAACCCTCCTGAAAAAAATGCACCAGTATTTTTTTCCGGGTGGAAGGAAAGTTCTGAGCATTTTTTTCCGAGAGGGGGGGGGAGTGTTTTTCTGGGAGTGAAAATATCCCGCGACATCGGAAAAAAATATTGATTTCGCTGTCTATAGGTCTCCCCACGAACAAAACGCACTTTTATAAGTTTAAATCCAACGCTGAACATTCATTCGTCCGGTCCCTTTGTTCACGCGACGGTCATCATGTCCCGCCTGCTGCCTCCCAGCGCGAGTCGCGAGAGCATGTGGAGGGTTTCCACTCGCCATTGCGGCTCTTAATGCCACATACTGCGAACCCTTATGCGGACCCCCGGTGATCCATCCATCCACTTTATGAAAGTGAAGCAGCTGCTTCCCCACGGGTCTGCACGCCATTGTTCTTTCGGATCCGAATGCCCTTCATTAACCAGCGAGCCATTTGTAACGGGCTCGATGACCACAATCACCTCGATCTTCCACGGGCCCAGCCACCAGAGAGATATCAGGTAGAGAGATAATTTATGGAAGTGAACAAAGGCATTTCTCTTCCGAGGGAGTCCATTCCCTGTCCTCATCAAATAAAGATCCCCCCGTGCCGGGCGAGTGCATAATTCATCGAGTTTCATTGAACGTCATCGGCTTCGTCACGTGCTGAAGGACGTCTCGTGCATGAATGGAAGTGCAGGGAAGGGCATGCATCTAAGGATCAGTGGCACGCTCAATTAATGCATATTTCAACGCATTTGCGAGATGGTTTTACCGGTGCCATTAGCGCAAATATGCAACAGTATCCGTTCTAATGAATGGGAGATGTGGAACACAGGATACCCGATGTTTTCATTTACGGTATCATATAGGAAAATATATTTTATCATATTGTGTAGAACTAGAGAGGGTAAAATTAAACTCGGACAGATTCTTTTCCTCCATGTTCTGTTGTTAATTCAAAAATACTTTAACCACTTAAGCTTGCACCTACGCATGTTATAAGTGAAATACGAGGCATGCATTTTCGCCACGTATGGTGGCAGCACTCTTCAGCAAAATGGCGTTTGGCATCGAAAGCGCGTCAAAAGAAGTTCAGCTTGGAGTGGTGCATATTTTGACGGTTAGAGGGAAACTATTAATGCTGAACGTCATTTTACTGAAGGTGCCACCACCATACGTGACGTTAATGCATATATCGTGTTTCACGCATTACACGTGTACGTGCAAGTCTACGGGCTTAGATGAAGATAAAGGCGGGTAGAACAGGGTGGAAAAGATTCTGTCGAGGCTTCGTTTGCTCTTCCCTTGTATAATGTTGTAAACAGAGAGGAAGGGAGTGCCGGCTTGGCGTCGGGATCGCATCGATTTGCAGTACTTCAAGAACCGCTGGATCAGATAAAAAGTTGCGGGCAAGTTTCCATTCTAATTTCATTCTCAACTTTTGCAGGTTCGGGATGGAATCTGGCGGATGAGGACGGGGAGGAAGAAGTGAGAGGGGGAGGGGGAAGGGGGGGCCTCTTGTCTCCGGGGGCGTCGCCATCCTTCTTGGGGGAATCCCCGCCCTTGCCATCCACGCCTAGTCCCTCGCCCAGGCGGGTCAGCCCGGTCGAGCTGAGTTTCGGAAGCCACTCGGCGGTGCAGACAGGTGAGTTGGGAAAGTGCCGAGTCGGAGTGTCGGCTTGGTGCATGAAAATCTAACGTAAAGCTGACATCTGGGGGAAATAAATCTAAAAAAATGAAGGGGGTTTCAAACCGCTTCAACTGAAGACGCTCCTGGCCCGGCGGTGTGAAGAAATCGAGTGACGAAAGAAGAATTCAGTATTAGTCTGGCCATCATTCGTCTCTGAAAACGTTACTCTGCGAATTCGTTCCCCGTTCCCATGGCAAGGAATGATTTCGATGTAGGTGGAGCCTCCCCGCGCGGCCCAGTAATTTTTCACGTTAGCAAACGTAGGAGTCGTCATTTATTGACAAGGCCTAGACACGAAGACCCTATGCCATGGTGCAATGCAGCATAATTCGATCATTTCAGAGATTCTGAGTAATGGCGGGAGGCGGGTTGGGACGAAGAGGGGGAATGAAAGGCCTTGTGGCCTTGTCTCAGTAGGCGGGGCTAAATGAAATCGAATTTGATGGGAGTCCTCAGAGGGTAGACGGAACGTGCTCTGATGCCCCACTGGAAGGGATTGCGGATAGGAAAAAGGAGATGTCGTAAATTACGCTCAAGGTCTTCGGAGGGTGAAACAGGTCGATGAGATAGGGAGTCGCCCTCTCATACATCTTTCAGGGCAGGAAATAGGGTGTTGTCAATTCTGACATGGTGTCAATATACAGGCTAACCGGGGAACAAAAAGCGGCTGGTGAGGAAGTAGCAATAAAAAATATACGAGCAATGAATATTGCAAGAATTCTGAAGGCGTCAAAAGATGCCCCCACAAAACCCTGGCATCGAAAAAAACAGGAATCTTCCTGGGAACCTTGTTTTACACACCCAGCACCCAACAGCTATTCGTCCACCAGCAATTTAGTCAGCGTAAATGAGTCGTGAATATTAACAGCAATCATTCGTATAGTAAATGCAGCTTCTTTTTGTTTTACTATAACAAGGATTACATCCTTTAGGATCTGATGGGGAAACTGACCTTTGCTTCCGAAGGGTGCCTTGCTCAAGGGAGGAGTTCATGGAAAGGGCTAAGCATGGTCCTTAACGATTAACGATGAGCTAATGTTCGCTTAAGTGTGATCATGTTACAACAGGATACCAAGCCAAACTCATTACCGTTTATTCTATAATTAAGCGCACGTATTTTCCACAAGCACTCTCTTGGCTTCCCCTAGAAAACAATGGGAACGCTGAAAACCTACATGACCTCGCAAAGATAGCACTAGAAGCTTGAGGCCGAACGGCAAGGACCGATCTGCTCTGCACCAGATCGATCTCCATCGCCCGACGCGAACTTCTCCAGCAGACGACTCGTCTACTCGAAGTCTGCGTCCGATTGGTTGACACGAGTCACGTCGTCTGCTCGCAGTGGCTGCCTGTGATCGGAACGGGGACTCAAGGAGTGATAATCTCAGATTCTGAATGTCCGGAAATGACCGATGGTTTAAGATCCACTTTTTGCAATTGGAGGAGCTTCGCTTTTTTCGCTTGACGTCAAAGTGGATTCAGCCTTGGGCGGTTCAGCCACACTGCAGAAAGCCTCTTATTTTAATTACATGTTCAAAGTCAGAAGTCACTCAGGTTAAGTTCGCTTGTAATATATATATTATTTACTCCGTTGGAGCAAATATGTTACTTCAGGACTGTAAGAACAATCGAGATGCCTACAGTGCCTATGACGTTTTTCTGGATCTGTAAGTACTGACGGGGACGGTAGTTTCAGAGGATACGGGGGTTTTCTTGTGAGCTCTTTCCGCGGAAAGATATCTCGAAGTCTTCCCTTGAGAGCAATTCTTAGGCTGAGAGGAATTCAATATTGAAAGGTCACGATCACGGAGGCAAAAAAATTTTCTCTCATGCGAAAGAACTTCAAGGTGTGTACACAATTTCAGCTGGAAACTTCTTGAGCGTTTTTCTTGGAGTCATATTACGTAAGAATATGAGGAATATTCTCATATTCGCTCAGATATGCCGCACGGGTCAGAGGTTGCAGGGTACACCGTCGATGACTTGGGAAGTATGTGAAACCGTTTTGAATCAGAGTATTTTCTATAAATTGTCACCATTCCGAAAAAAAAACTGCATTAAAAATAGAAAAGTCATACCGTTATAGAAATACAGGAAAACAAACTCATTGTAAGAACAAAAAGATATGGTCAGTAGATAGCCCCAGGAGCCCCCCAACCTCTCAGCTGAAAATATGAATTCCTGTATACGCCTCTCTTACCGAGCGCTCGCTAAGATGAATATGAAGATCGTTCTGGCAGTGATGCATCCTCAAGAGCAAATAACGTCGTTTCTTGATACAAGAATTCGCCTCGTTATGGGATGTCTATTACCCTGCATCCATGATGCCTCTTGACCCAGATGCGCTATCCGAAAGTTTACCTTCGTGTATCCCGACGATTAATCATCCCCAATGAGCACTGACAACAATGAATCTCATCTGACCCATTTCCGTATTTTCGTGCCAGGCACGTCGAGCCTAAGAGTGCCAGGCGAGCAACCGGAAAGCCGAGAATCGAAGACGCCCAAACCCGGAACGACCCCGACGGACCTGGCATCCCTGGCCGAGCGGGGACGCGTGGGCGTGGACTCTTCCTCTTCGGGTTCGGGGGATGACGACTCCTCTCAGCAAAGCCTCAGGCATCGGGTTCCATTTCGGAGACAGAGCAGCCTGGAAGAGGAGGAGGAAGAAGTTTGTAATGCGAGCCCCACTGCCAATTCCAGTGCAAAACCTCGGAATCCGATTGGGTGTCAATTGCAGGGAAAACGTATTCTCCTTCCCAGGGAACACAGATACCTCGCCGTCATCGACGCCACTGTAAGTCGTTGTCAGCACGAATGATGAGTAAAACTTTCGGCATTTCACGATGAACTCAGCCTGATTGGCCAGCCAAGACTAATTCACAAGCTTCCTTATACCAAATTCTTTTTTTTTTTTTTTAAAAAAAGAAGTCCTGAGGGAACCCACCCTGCCAGGAATGGAACTTTGTGTTCTTCGGTTACCTATTTTTTTATCGTTATGAAAAAAGTACGTTAGCGGTCATAATAAGGAAAAAAAATAATGCAGGGCAGATATTTTTATTTCAGCCCTGCAAAAATGGTTCCACCTTTTACCAACCAGGCAAAAAATTTTCCTCTTCCTGTCCCTCCCATGTCGAAAGCGCGGCTTCTTCAAGGACAGACCCACGCAAAGACGCGTCCGGAATATTCCGACGGACGGAAACTCGTGCAAAACTTTCTCTCGCTGAACGGCAAAACGTGCTTGCCTGGGGTGGTAGGAATTTCTCTGACCTGGTTTATTCTCGATCTCAAAACGCAGCGGAGCCACCTGGAATTGTAGGGCCAGAAAGTTGTTCCACATCTACCTTAATTTTTATTTTTCACCCTCATAATTGAGGAATCTGTGGAAGTGTTGCTTGAAATATAAGAGTTTCCTCGTTCCCTCCAACCAATCGAGAGTTGGAAGTCTCATTAGAATATTCTGACGTAGAACCTCGTTATTCCGCTTCAATTCCACTTCAGCGCCTGTTTGCATAAATCCGTTCGTCACATGCCATCATCGCCTCCTCTCTCGCGTTGGGGTACAAGTAAGGCAAACGTTCGGTATGCTCCATCATTACCCTTCTTTCCAGGAAAAATGCCGGGGAATCCGATCGGCTCGATCGATTGCCCCGTCAACGATGATTTCTTTCTCGATCCCGCAGGAGCACGACCTCCTGGGCCTATCAGAGCTGATGCCGATGTACGAGGAAGGCGGGGAAGTGCAGGGCCTGGGCGCGGGCTCGAAATGCGGCAGCATCGAGGCCGCCTTCTCCCTTGATGCCCTGTCGCATCGAATCAACGTCGCTATCGTTCAGGCTCGAAATGTTCCTCCGAGGAATAGATCCTCCCAGACGCTCTCACAGGTGACTCCTGGCCTAGATCAAATAGAGCGAGGGAGTTTAATGCATAAATAATCGCAATTTGTCCTCTTGAAGGTTCGGCTCCTGCTTCTGCCATCGAGGAAACAGCGTCACAGTACGAGGATTTTGCCCGGGGAGAATCCTGTTTTCCACGAGACCTTCATCTTCACTGGAATCTTTCCTGGTGAGTTCCTGGAATCCCGGGAAAACAACGTTCATGACATTATGCACTCCACGATGACTTCAGTCCTCGTCGAGGGTACTCCAAAATTCTCCCATGCGTGATTAATTGTAGGCAGTCATCTCGGGAGTTTTTAATTGGAATCCATTCCAATTCGCATTTCATAATGCGCTCCTGTTCCAATTTTTCTTTGTATTTACCTGCTCTAATTTTTTATTGTAAGACTTCTGTCTGCATCCCTACGCTGAGATTTAAGAAAGAGAATGACTCCGTTTCCAGGTGACGTTAACAGCATGGGGGTGCGGTTACGCCTGTACGGGTGCGAGCGACTGAGGCGGGAGCGGCTGATCGGGGAGATCGTCCTCGGGTTCGCTTCTCTCAACCTCGACATCCACGCCCCCATGTGGCTCACTCTCGAACCAAGGCATACCGTCAGATCCGTAAGAGCGTTTTTTCCTTGCGAAGCCTGTTTAATGTTACCTCGTTGTCTTTCTCAGTCTCCGCGGGATATTTCCTGCCGCGTAGGCGTATTTACGTCTCATGCGCTAAAGGACCTTGTGGTGTTTATCGATGTGTCGACAAAAATACTTGATCGATGTCTACAGGAGTCACTTTTTTCTTAGCCCAATTCCAGTAGATTTTCCCTTCCTTTCCAAAAATAAAAAATCAATATGATGCTGCACCTGATATATACTGAAATTTAATGACTGATTCAAGAGTCTTGACCATGCTTACGTTTGGCACATATTTTTCTTGCCGTCTTTGTCATTGGTGGACAGTGTGGCTACGGCGAATGCCGTGAGATTCTGTTGTGGATTCTTTTTTTTATTTTTAAGACACCCTGTACGTAGCATTGAGGAATGTCTTGGTAATTACTGCGTGGCATATCTGCAATGCAGTTGGATTCCCGTTCGGACATCTCGAGCGTGACGCACAGCGAGTCGACGGGTTCCTCGCACTCCGAGTCCACGCCCTCCATCTCCACGTGGAGGAGTCAGTGCAGCGGCTCCTCCAACTCGGGGAACGGGGCGACGGGGCCGGCGACGGGACTGGGGACGGGAGCGGCGCCCAGGAACGCGGGTCTCCCGGAACTTCTGCTGGGGCTCTCGTACAGCGGGGTCACCGGGCGGCTCGCCGTTGACGTCATCAAGGGCAACCACTTCAGGTCCAGAGTCCTTTCTCGGTTGCAAGGCGTTAATGCGCCTCTTTCAGGGGAAATTCGTTGGAGTTATTAGCTGGGGCAACATTGAAGAATTTCCTAACAGATCAAGGACACGTTACTCAGCTTGAATATGCATGATTTCATACCAGCAGAGTATTGTTTGACAGCTCAAACGTGCTCTCTGTATAAATTATGTTATTTTACGTAGGATATAGGAAAATAGACTCCCACGGGACAACTAGAGTGATTAGTGGGACTGGCAAAGCTCCCAATGCTGTCAAGTTAATGTCAATGAACAGCTGCAACCTCCAACGAGTTTCTCCGTATACTTACAGTATATACTGGATTGTATGATTTTAGATCGATTTTTTAAATTATCGATGCATTGATAAGTATTGCAACGAAAGTGAAACGCTAATCATAGAAGACGCGAGCTTTCTGACTGAAAGATACTTTTTGGGAACAATTTTCAGAAAATGCTGAGTCTATATATCTATATTTCCCTTCGCTCTTGGGCCAAATCCCATTCACTTCGAATGCAGGAAGGATCAAAGCTAATTCCTCTGAGACGAAATTCCCTTGAAGCAGAACCATTGCTTTTCCGCAGGAAAATGAGGCCTTTGGCTAATGAGTTGTTGCCGAGGGAACGCGATCCCCAGATTGGATTTGTTAAGATGGTTAAGTGGATGCTTTTGGGGTGTTTACCCTATGAACTTCGAGAACCCTGATCCTAATTTGCCTTTAGGAGATATCCGAGGCTTGAGAGAACCTGCATCGCATGACGACGGATTTCCTGGGAACAATTGAGATAAGAGCCAGGTGCTCAATAGAGTCGGGGAAAAAAAACAGGAAAGCGGGATCATCTCGGATATTCCTGGTTAATCATCGTGATCTTCTTATCTCGGATCCTCTCGTGTAAACGCAGAGGGAATCGGTTATTGGCCTTGCAATTAATCGAATTAATCTTGTTCACCGTGCTGCATCTGCTTCCGGCAGTCGCAAGGCTTTGACGATGAACCACGGCGATCGCATTAGAGGATTTGCGGGTTCCCAAAAGACATTCGGCTGGTATTCCCTGATGGGATTCCTAATTGGTGGCACGCTTGTCGGATCCTCTGAATCTCTGCGGTCGCGGATTGACCCTGAATGTGACTCGTTAGATTCGATCCGTTTTGTTGTCTCCTGAAATTTCACTGGGTTTTCCCGAGACAGAAAAATTGTCCTTTCCATGAGCATATTAGATGGCAATAGAAATGTACTGTAGAGACTGAAAATTTTCTCTATTCATTGTGGATGCCCGAGCTGCAGCCCGTTGACTTGGGTGGTGCAGATGCATCGTCTAATCGAGATAAGCCATTCCGAAGCACATTGCCGACAACTATACATTTTTTATATTTTCCGAGAACGCATGTAAAAGCTAAGAATCAAGTTAATACGTAGGCCACCCGCATCCAGAAATGTTTCTCACACGAAGCCTTACATTTCCAGCATCCTGAAGCATACAGCACTTGTGAAACCTTTCCCCGAGAAGTGACCTAACGACCCGCGAAAACAATGTCCTTTCTAGCTCGGCTCCAGCCGTCGTAGACCGGGTGAAAACAAGATTAACATTGCATTGTTCCTAATTTGCGGTCCCATCCGAGCGAGGGTGTTTACTACATTTCCTCCATTCACTCGACACAATGGGAGAATGGAGTGTGGCTCTCACTGATTGCGGAATCGACCGGGAGAAAGGACGTCAGCATGCTTAGGAGGGCACCAGCGAGCTTAGGAGGTTCGAGATAGTTTGGAAGAGCGAAATCAAGTTCTGGAGCATAGTTGCAGTGTAATTCATTTGAATTCAAATGCGGAAGCGGTTCACAAGATTCAGAAGCAACAATTTTAATGAGCAGCAGAAACATCGCGATGGAATCAGACATTCGCTGTGTAGGCTTTTAATTGCTTTGCGGATGGGTTTTCGATGCCTTCAGGCGGTGTCTGAAAGCAAATATCAATTTGCATTCTAGGGAAGATGATATGGTCTTGAAGACATAAGGAAACGAAATTGAAAGAGCTTTCAAGCATCAACCGGGCCCTGGATCGTGTGTTTGAAACGTAGAAAATTAGAGGCAAATACACTGATGGAATCTGTTCATCGAGTTCAGACATTCCTTTGAGAAGAGACGAAATTTTGACTCCAAACTTCCAAAATATCTGCTTTTTAGTCGTGCAAACTTATTTCTCGAACTCCTCAAAATACCAATTTGAAGACTTGAGAAAAAACCATGGCCTTGGTTTTCGATTAAGAGCTCGCAACGAACTCATAAAATTGCGGCTGCAATGAGTGGCACTTTTTCTGTGATGAAAAAAAAAATATATATATATATATATTTTTTGGTTTTCAGGCATTTGGTGGCAACGAGGAGCCCAGATTCATACGTTCGAGTGTCGTTGATATCGAGCAATGGTCAGGAGATCTCGGGGAGCCGGACATCGGCCAGGAGGGGACAGAACAACCCTGTCTTCAAGGAGTCCTTCCTCTACACCGTCAGTCAAATAATATAGTTAAATAAAATATAAAACAGGCCTAGAATATACATACATGATATACCGACACACGCTTGAAGGTTTTTTTTTTTATTCGTCTTCATTTTTCTTGGATGAGTTGAAAACTTAGCATCCGTTTCACTCATACCCTGCACAAGAAGTTTGATGGAACTTTTCATTGTGTGGGAAGATCCTTGGACGAAGAAACAAGATAAAAAGCGAAGTCGTATTCCAGGAAAAAATGTTCTGTAAAAATCCATAGAATTGTAATATTTCGTGCTACATAATTTTTTTATGGGCCTTTATTGGAATATTGTTGGACAATATTAGAGTTTTCCTTAGAAAATTAATTTTTAAAATGTCGAGAACTTAATGTAACTTTTTTTCGATAGAATGATTACAGAAAATTTTCATTCGTGATGTGTTGCAGCTCCCCCTGTTCCAAATCGGGGACGTGACGCTGATGGTGATGGCGTACAGCAAACGCGGGATGAAGAAGAAAGAAATGATCGGCTGGTTCAGCTTGGGCCACAACAGCTCGGGCGAGGAGGAATTCCGGCATTGGGAGGAAATGAGAGAAGCTGGAGGACAGCAAGTCTGTCTCTGGCACGTCCTCCTGGACTCTTTGCCCTCCTAGGGCGGAGGGTCCGTTGGGGTTTCTCGCTGTTCGAGGTCGGAGGGTCCGCTTGGTCTCTTCGCTCTCCGAGGACCTAGGGTCCACTTGGAATGTTCGTCCATGTAGGGCCTAGATCCAGAGGTCTCTCTCGTTGCAATTATTATCCCCTTCCCGGCTCCATCATGGGTCCCTGTGATGAGGATTTTTTTGTCCCGTCTCCCGCCTCTTCTTACATAGTGGTGGAGACGTTGATCTGTTTCCAGTGGCGCAGCCCTGTTGAAGACATTGTTGACTTTTTCTCTCCCCCCCTGTCGAGCTGCTGCGTACGTTTGTGATACCATTGGGGGAAGTTTTTATCTTGACCTGTTTTTTCCTCCTGTCATCGACCCCTCGAGTCCCCCCCCCCCCCCCCCCCCCCCCTCCGCCCCCCCGGCCCCCCCCCCCCCCCCCCTCCATTCATGTTTTCAACGTCATTGTGATCGTCTACTCACTTGCACAAACGGAAATCTCCTTCCTTCTGGTATTGCTGCTTCTTCTTCTATTTTTGCACACAAGCACAGAAGATGCTTACATTTTCCAATGATTTTTGCTGAACTAACTGGCACAATTTGCAACCTATGGCTCGATTCGAGCAGAAATGGTGCAATATTTTTCTGAAACTGTAACGTACAAAGACTTTATGAATTATGCGGCATTGCGTTGCAATATTTAAAGAGGGATGTTTCCTCTCGACATCGAAAAGCATATTTGTACATTGTACCTGTTTCCCTTCTCCCGATGAGTCCGGAATCGCCTGTGAAGAGGTATTGCAGGGTGGCCTATTTTTTTTCTACATCTGTATGCAGGAACCGGCAGTGAACTGCATGCTAACCTTGTCTGAAACATAATTATTAAATCCTAACCTAATTTTTCTTTCGATTTGATCCCCCATCAATGACCATGTTTCAAAATCAATGACATTCACATCGTGTGATGCAGGAATTTTAGCCCGGAATTTCCATGATAATTTTCAGCTTTCATCATTTTTTATAGTTATGAAAAGCTAACTTCTATTTCATGAAATTTGTGAAGACATTTTTGCATGAAGTTCTCTCAATCGTAAATCAGTAAGACCGTGATCTGTACCATCCCAAAATGTTACCTTCGGCAATTAATTGTTTATTAGTATTACAGTTGATGATTTGCACTCAATACTCTTGGAAACTCTGGAGAATTTGCTTGATTTATGCTTCAAATAGCTATCTTCAGAGAAAATTTGCTGAAATATCTTAAAGAAGATGTGATAAACCGTTTTCAGCATTCAGAATGGCAAATACCCGAATTTTCGAAAAATGTTTCAGGCAATAGGCAGAATGGTTTTCTGCGCGGGCCACCCTGCACCGTTTTTTTGGTGCTGCTCGAGGAAGAGACCCCGTGAATTGTAGATTCGGTGAATCAAGGTCTGCTCATTTTTTTCAGATCTTTAGTGGATTTTAGAAAGTTTTCTGAGAGAGGCAGTTCCCCGACTTTCTGTTCCCTGTTCGATGTGTATTGTGAATCTTCCTCGTAGAATTAGTGTGTCTTTTCATACTTATAGGCCTAGAAATCTTCGAGCCTCCAGAATCTGATTCTGTAGTCACAGACCGCGTAGAAGCAGATTTGTACTAATTTTTCTCAGAATTTTTTTTCCTCCGATTTTTTTCCCTCTTCCGAGAGAAAAGGGACAATCCAGGCCATTGAATTTCGCACAAGTGAACTTGAAATTTTCCTTTCGGAATCGTTTTCCCACGACCGTCCAAGCCCAACACAAACGGTGGAACTTCTCGCGGGTTAAAGAAATCGAAGTTTATTGAAGGCACTCGTTTCCAATTTCTGCACGTTCTGGAGGATTTGCAGCTGACTTCGAGGAGGAAAACAATGTAGAAAGGCTAAATTTTCTCTGCATATTCCATTCAGGAAGGCAATTTCAATTACATGAATTCGAATAATACTTTTTTCTGAATAAAATAGACAGTTTTGCATTGTTCCCTCCATACTGGATATGTCATCGACTTCAGCTGTAAATCCATCGTTGGAGGCAACCGAAGACATTTCTTGAGCATGAGAGATGGAATTCTTGCAATTTTTCCTGTTTCTCGTGCTTTTTGCCATCCTTGCCATTCAAGGCAGATTTTTTTCCAATGAAGAGAGAATAAAAACAAAGTTTCCGCCTTCATATCAATATCATCGTGTTCATTTGATCCCCCTTCGAAAAAAAAGAAAACATATAAAGCTCTCTAGGAGTAAAATATAGACTCTCGGAACACATTCAACATTCGTCTTAAAGCTCCATAAAATAATTAATACTGTCGCCGTTTGGAGGAAGTCCTGGTTTCCACGGTCCGCGTGGTGTCCACGAGCTTTCTTCGGATGTCGACGAGATGCTTGAGCAGGTCCTTGGGTTTCAGTCGGTACGAGTCGTCCGCGGGGTGGGGACTGGTCATGCGGTGGCAGTGGTGACAGAACTGGGCGTGAAGGCAACAGTGAGGGGAGCAGCAGGAGGGTCGCCGGGTCGGGGAGGGAGGGAGGCTCTGGGTGGCCTCAAAGGTAGGGAAGGCGGCGTAGGAGACGCTGCGGGGGTGAAGCCAGGGGGTGGCGTCTAGGAAGGGTTGAGACGTCTGGAGCCGCTGTTGATGGTAGAGGGGCTGAGATGACCGAAGTCGCTGTTGGAGGTAGAGGCGCTTGGCCGACAGGAGGTGGCGCTGCTTTAGGATCTCCTGGCTTTCTAGGCGGTAGAGGCGTCGTAAGCGCTGTAGGTGCTGAGAGGAGCTGCTTTCCGGTTGCTTGGATGGGTCTTGATAGTCAGGGCCGTGCTGGACGTCGCTCCAGGATACGGACTTGGTTTGGGTCGCTGCGGATGAGAACGTGTTGCCTGATGAGGTTTTTCGTCGCACGCCAGGAAACTCCGCGCTCACAGATTTATGCACGACTTTCGGGTGTGGTGGCTCGAGTCTGGGGAGGGAGACTGTGCGTTCCCATGCCTGGGAGCCTCGGAGTTCTTGATGAGGGAAGAACACATAAGTGATGCTCTCGTCAGATCCAGTGCTAAGGTTTTTGCCTTGGGATCGGGACGGATTTGGCTTTGGTGCGGACTGGAGTTGCAAGGTGACGGCGGAGACCTTTCTTTCCTCGCTGGCTTCCACTGAAGGAATTTCTGAGCCTCGAGGACTGTGGGTCGTCCTTGGGGTCTCCTCGTCGCTCTCAATGGCTTGAGGGCGGGGAGGTGTGTGAGTCGATGGCCCAGGTCGACCTTCGATTAGGGGGGGCAGAGTCGACTGGGTCTTTTGGACGGAGTTCGATTGTCTTTGATTGATTGTCGGGTTTGATTGTGAGCTGGGTTCGCTTTTGGGTGTCTTCGACTTATCTTGGGTTTCTTTCGTGGATAGAATTACTTGAATGGAGGAAGTGCGTCTTTCATCGATCACGCTGAGCTGGGACCCCGTAACGAGTCCTACCTCCGTTTCGACACCTGGTCTCATATTGGGGATTAAACTGTCTGGGAAACGGTCTTCGTTCGAAAGGGCGTCGGTGGAGCTGCTTTCCGGGTCGCGAGCCTTGAAGCGCAATTCGCTTCGGTATTGCGAGCGGTGGGAGAGGCAGAATCGATGAGGATCCATTTCGGGGTGGGTGCTCCGAGAGTCCCAGGCGGATTTTAAGTCGCGGGCGAGGCGGGTTTTGTAGGAGGAATCGGCTCGTTTGGGGAAGGTTGTGGGTCTGCGTGGGTGTGAGGAGGGTTCGTCTTCGTCACTGTCTTTCTGGGAGGTGGTGGAGCGTTCTGAAGGGGCACAGCTGGAGGAGGGACTGTCTGGATTGGGGGGTGGGGATGAAGTCAGGGCTTGGGATGGAATCCGATATTGGGATGGTGTCTGGGATTGAGATGGATTATGGGGCGTTGGGATTTGGGTTTCGTCAGGGGGGAGATCGGGTTCGTGTCGATTCCACATGGAGGGGATGGTATCGGATTTGGGGGTTGAGGAAAACTCTGTCGACACCACTGATGCTTCTATGGAGTTTTTCTCACTCGGAGTTTCGTGATGGATGGGATCAAGAAGAACGGTTTTCATTGTTTCGTGCTCACAAGTGGAAGGCAGGACGGTGTCGATGTCGAAGAGAGACGCTGTCGAGTCCTTTGGCTCGTTGCCCGTCTCGTCGTCCTCGGCGATCGTAAGGCATTCCGGGATGGATTCTGGGATGGATTCTGAGATGGATTCCGGGATGGATTCTGAATACTCATCGGATGAGTGACTTTCGTGGGATGCAGTCTCGGTCAACTCGGAAACGATCGGCTTGTCACTCACTGAAATCACATTTTCTCCTTTTCCATTCTCACGAACCGGATCCGTCTCGCGTGGGCTCGGACCGCTCTCGAGGGAACTGCACGTCTCAAGGGAACTGCAAGTCTCAATATTCAGGACTACGGCAGAGACGGCGACTGGGCTTTGAATGTCATCCAAAATCCCTCGACACTCGTCTGAACCCGGTCCAACTTGCACCGAAGAGTCATGACCTGGTTTCATTGCAGTTGCGTCCGCTTCATCACTGCGATCCCCGAATTGCGCATTCGCCGCGAGCGACAAACTGCGACAAACTACAGACAAGTCGCGACTCCTCAAGTCCGATTCTCTCGTCCTCGCCTCGTCCAGCGAGGAAGTCCGACCCGTCCATCGAAGGGCAGATTCGCTTGCAGAAGAAATTGCAAAGTTTCGATTCACTTCGAAGAGGTCGATGCACGTCACCTGGCTCTCCGTCGATGTGTCGATAAAGGAGTCTCTCACCCAATTTATTCGCAAATTTTCACTGTGTTGGTCGTCGGGCAGGAATTCCAACGTCTCCCAAGCCTGCCTGCAGGTTTCCATCGATGATTTCACCGGATTCGGCGATGCCGTTGATAAATTCCCATTCACATTGTTTCCCTGTTTTTCTTGGGTCTCATCGTGCAGATCGAGCGAACTCTCCGAGTCGACACTCAGTTCACGTTCGTACTCTCGCCCGTCGAAATGAGGAAGTCTTTCGAGATTCCTTCTCCTTCCTTTTCTTTCCATGGTCTCGCTCGTGCGACTCGGCGAAAGGCTTGAAATCTGTCCTACTGATATTTGGGAAACTTCTGAAAAATCCTGAAGCGGAACAGAGGTTGTGACTAGAAATATGGCTCCATGATCTTCCATATGCGATTCGTCATGATCTCTATGGGGAAAGTTTCCGTCATCGACACTCAAAATGGGAATCTCGTCGGATGAGAAGAGATCCGCGTAATCATGGGAGAGGCTTCCGACACTGTCGACACGTGCACTCGGCTCTTCCTGTCGCAGGACAGGCTGCGAAAATTGTCCGGTCTCCGAAGTGTCTCCTTTCTCGGCGCGATTTTGCGATTCTTGGACGGAGAGAGGAAGCTCTGGGTTTTTCTCGTCCGAAGGCAACTGACCTTGATCAACTTCATCCTCATCTGAAAGTATCTGAGATATTTCCTGGGCAACTTGATATACTTTCTCTTCGTCTGCTACCTGTTGACACGTTTCCTGGTCAACTTGATCAGCTTCTCTTTGGTCTGAGAGCATCTGAAATGTTTCCTGGTCAGCTTGATCTGTTTCTCTTTGGTCTGAGAGCATCTGAGATGTTTCTTGGCCAACTTGATATACTTTCTCTTCGTCTGCTACCTGTTGACACGTTTCCTGGTCAACTTGATCAGCTTTCTCTTCGTTTGAGAGCATCTGAGATATTTCCTGGTCAGCTTGATCTGCTTCTCTGTGGTCTGAGAGCATCTGAGATGTTTCTTGGCCAACTTGATATACTTTCTCTTCGTCTGCTACCTGTTGACACGTTTCCTGGGCAACTTGATCAGCTTTCTCTTCGTTTGAGAGCATCTGAGATATTTCCTGGTCAACTTGATCTGCTTCTCTTTGGTCTGAGAGCATCTGAAACGTTTCCTGGTCAGCTTGATCTGCTTCTCTGTGGTCTGAGAGCATCTGAGATGTTTCTTGGCCAACTTGATATACTTTCTCTTTGTCTGAGAGCATCTGAAACGTTTCCTGACCAATTTCATCTACTTTCTCTTCTGCTACCTGTTGACACGTTTCCTGGTCAGCTTCATCTGCTTTCTCTTCGTCTGCTTCCTGTTGACGCGTTTCTTGATCAAGTTGTCCTGCTTTTTCCTCATCTAATAGCTGTTGCCATGCTTCCTCATCAATTTGATCTGTTTTTTCCAAGTCTGTTAGCTGCTTAGGCGTTTTCCAGCCTATTTGATCTGATTCTCCTTCTTCTGAGAGCATTTGACGAGTTTCCTGGCCAATTTGGTTTACATTTTCGGCATCTGACAGAAGCTGACACGTTTCCTGGCAAGCTTCATCTGCTTTTCTTTTGTCTGTCAGCGTCTGACTCGTTTCCTGGCAAACTTCTTCCGATCCGGACAATTTTAAAACGCATGAAACGTCAAACCGAGATACCACAAGAGTATCTCCTTCGCACTGGTTTCCTTCGCCTACGTGCTGATTTCCCTCGCCTTCGCCTTGGCTTTCCTCCAGCTGGCTCTCCAGGACAAGCAAACCTTTTCGTGTGGAATGTGAATCTTCCGAGGACTCTCGGTCCCCGGTCACGAGCGACTCTCTTTCCTCGGCTGGAATTTCGTCTCCCACCTCGTTGCAGACCTCCTCGGAGAGACATTCAACCTGGACGGTAATTCCGAGGTCGTCCACAGCGTCAATTTCCCGTTTGACAACGACTTCACGGGTCGTTTCCTGCGTTCGTCCATCCGCGACGTCGCCAATATAAGATTTTCCCTTCTCTCCGTCTCCATTAGATGATGAGGGTTCGGATATTTCTGTTGGATCTTCGCCAAACTTTGCATGCATCAATGATAACGAGATGCAGGGTTCGGCATTGAAGTTTTCAGAAGTTTCTGATTCGGGAAGCCTCTGACTTTTCGCGAATATCTGATCCACGGGAATCTGATTCCTTTTCTGAAAATTTGAATCTCTATCTGACTTCCTGGAAATTTCATTGTCTGCCTCACCATGTTGAAAGGTCGCGTCTTCCTGGATCTGGAGAGCATGAGATATTCGCTGATTAGAATATTCAGGAGACTTTTCAATCTCGTCGTAGGTGAGCTGGTGTGGCTCGTCTCTTGAGACCCGATTCATCTCTGCTTGATATGCTGATCCCGCTTCAGCCGAAATGATGGCATCTCCGACTTCTGTGACGTCAGGAATGCTGCTTTCCTCAGTTGAATGACGTTGAGCCTCGAAATCTTCCCGATTTTGAGACGCAATAAGATCGAATCTAAGCTCCTTGAGGTCGGATCCCTGTTCAATGATGTCAAATCTATTCTCGATGAGATCGGAACTGGGTCCAATGAGATCGGGCTTGTGCTCGCCCTCTTCCTTGACCTTTTTGGCGGTGCAGCCCTCCGATAAGTCTTCTTCGAAGCTGTGGTGGAACTCGGGATACTTGTCGGGGTCCGGCTCGTTCAACTCGTCGGCGTCCGAGCCCACCGACTCATCGTGACTGAACAGTGGCAAGGAATCGCTCGGGGTTCCCTTTTCGTCCGAGTCCTCGAACGTGTCTGTGCTGTACGGACCGGGCTGGATCTCCTCCGAGAGGACGCCGACGTGGACCAGGTGCTCATCAGGAGTGGGGAGGAGGTTGGCTCGGTTTTCGCCAGGAATGGGGAGGAGGTCGTCTTGGTTCTCGTCTGGAGTGGGGAGGAGGTTGCCTCGCTGGATCTCGAGGGAGAAACCGTCACCGATGACAAGGACTTGGTCTTGGTCCTCGACGTTGCTGATAAAACTCACGCCGGGGTCGCCTTCGTCCTGGCAGAAACCATTGGACGTGGGTAGTCCGTCGGTGTCGTTCAGTCGCCAAAGGGATCCTGGACTTTCGCATACAATGACGGGGTTGTGGAATTCCAATTCACCTACTTCTCTTTCACCCGTGGAAAGTATTTCCTCTGGTTCCTCTTCTGTATCGTGTCCACGTGATACGCCGTTGTGTTCCGACACAATCACTCCGTCACTCGTCACTTCCGACCGTGAATTTAGATCACCGACACTATTCCGATCACCAGATCCAACGGAAAGCCAGTAGAAAACAGGGACGACCTTGGAGTCGAGTTCACACGTCCAAGACCCATCCCGACCGTCCCGACCGTCCCGACCGTCCTGGCCGTCCCAGCCGTCCAGGACGCGATAGACCGTCTCGACCACCGTCTCCTCCACCGTTTCCAGAATCTCGATCTCCGTCTTGCATGTGGTGGAGGTGCCATCTTCCTCCTCGACCGTCTCTTCCTTCACTTGGGTCTCGCGAGTGGTGAAGTCCTGGGTGTGGACCGTCTCGGCGATTGGGATGTGGGGCATGGTGAGGGTGAAGGTGGGTTCCGTGGGACTGATGGTGACGGTGACGGTGGCTTTGTTTGCGTTCTCCTCTTGGCAAGGCGCCGCCTCTTTTTTCCCCCGTATGCAGGATACTTCTTTTCCCTTCGCCAGGGTTTCCAGGCTTTCCAGATCCGGGTCGGAGGAGTCAAGGTTCACAGATTTGAGAGATGGTGACTCGGACCGGGGCTGTTCGTCCACCATCATGAGAAGGGGAATCGGAGAAAAAGTGACATTTTCCGACGTGTCCATTACGGTTTCAGGCAATGATTCGTCCCAATCTTGGTGGGATTGCCGAGGGCTGTCCAGAACGGTCATCGAGCACCTAGGACTAGTGACGGCGACTACAGGCGCCTGGCTCATTAGCGCGTCACTGACGGTGACAACAGGCACCTGGTTCATTAACGCGTCACTGACGGCGACTACAGGCACCTGGCTCATTAGCGCGTCACTGACGGCGACCACAGGCACCTGGTTCATTAACGCGTCACTGACGGCGACTGCAGGCGCCTGGCTCATTAACGCGTCACTGACGGCGACTGCAGGCACCTGGCTCATTAACGTGTCACTGACGGCGACTACAGGCGCCGGGGTCATTAACGCGTCACTGACGGCGACTACAGGCGCCGGGCTCATTAACGTGTCACTGACGGCGACTACAGACACCTGGCTCACCGACACGTTACTGACGGCGACCACAGGCGTCCGACTCACGAACTCGTCACCTCCTACCGAATCCGGAACATCCCCTTCATCGTCACTCAGCTCCAAGTTCCTTCCCGGATCCTCGATATTCCCGTCAGACTCCATGTCCTCCGTGCCACTGTCCCCAACCTCCTCCACCCACTCGCCACTCACCTCTGGGATGGTATACAGACCGTTCACGGAGGAGAAGTCTCTGTAGTCGATGGTGAGGCTCACTCGCGACTCACCGCGCTCATCGCACTCGTCGACGAACACCGGGTACACTCCCATAGACTCGTCCTGGAGGGACTTGTACGTGTTGCCAGTGTCCCCGAAGGGATCCACGGTGCACGAAAGCGTCCACGGCAGATCCTCGCCCTCATCTTCGTCCATTGCAAGAACTGGATCGTTCGACTCGGGGAGCCGGGCCCCCGCTATCGATTGCTCACCTGGAACCAGGTCACACGCGCTCCATCGATCTTCCTCCAGCGAATCAGTCCATTCTTCCTCGTCGTTTTCGGGGCTCCGTCCTCCGGGCTCCAGACTCCCCTCGGGGTAAGGCGTGAGAGATCTCTCGAGGCTGTCGTCCGAGAAGTCGTCATCTGTCGACCTGGTTTGGTCCGGAACGTCGCGGGTAGGAATCGTGTCGAGGTCGTCGTGGTACACGTCGCGATTCCGGGGCAGGGAAACGCGTTTCGCGTTCACTCGGTTCAGGTCCGGGACGAAAGGAGTGCTGCAGCACGGATGCATCTTGTGCAGGGGGTGGGTGCAGGGATAATGCCTGCCACATTTGTGCGATTCCTCGGGTGGAGCAATTCCACTCGCGTTTTTCAAACGCTTCGATTTGGCACGGACTCTCGGACCGACCCGTTTCTCGCGTCTCGCTCTGTTCGCCCCCGGACCCGGCCCAGGGTAAAGACGCTTGATCACAGACGCGATGATCTCCTCCTTGGATCGCCTCTCCCCCTTCCTCGGACGCACCGCCAGATTCGGGACGCTCGTCGTCCTCTCTAATCCCCCACAAGCGCTGCATCCCCTCGCCCTCCCACACGGCACATGCACACCACACCGACCCCTCGCCTTCTTCGAGAAGCTGAACGTATACGACGTGTATCCACCCGCCTTGACCAGGTGCGAAGTGGACGCCGCGCTCACCCCCGAAGACGACTCGTACGACGAGGTGGAGGCGAGCGAGAGGGTGGAGGCGGCCGGGGACCCGCTCGTTCCCATGGCCAGACTCATCTGGGACCTGCGACGGAAGAGGCACGGAAAATGAGCATCGAGTCTAATTACAGATGACATTAAGCAAGCGCCCGAAAGATGCCCGATTGACGTTGCACATGCCAACACTGACATCTTCCCATGACTCAACTCGCTGTCATATCGCTTCCATTACGAGTCACGATTCCAACCGTTGTTCTCTACGATCTCTACGGCTGTTTCGCGTGTTTTCTACTTTTGCAAATAAGCTTTTGACTCCAATGAACCTGCCAGAACGATCGCAATCTCATTAAGTCATATAGAAGGTATCAGCATATAGAAGGTATCAGCGATCGATCAACACCCCCAATTTGCCCCCATCTATCCCTCGCCCCCCACATTCCGGCTTGGTTTTCATTCATTCCGTCATTAAAAGCAAAAATCCTTTCACATTCGTGATTCTGCCTAACTCGTTTCACATCTCATCAAATAGCAGCTAAGCAACCGTAATCATGACGGATGAAATCCGTCTTTAACCATGCGGTTAGTGCACGGCGCAAACAGAGCATAAAATTGCCTTGTATCGTCGGTGCGAAAGTCAAGCGATGAAAATCGAGAATAGAACAAAACCAAATACAATCCCACAAACAAGAGGCAATATGCAACCTAGCCGGCAATTACGCAGCGACATGCGTATTCCGCATCCCCTAACGACGCACATAAAAACACACTAAAGCCACGTCGTAATGCTGTACTAGTGAAACGACGTGGGCCGACGAACCAGCGAAGGCACGGGAATCGATATCATGCTTCCCACGTGCACCGCTCATCGATTTCCGAAGCACAGGAAAAATCCAGAGTGGAACGAAGGAAGGTCAAGGGGAAGCCAGGAGACAAGACACACGCCGCACACGCCACACGCACCACACGCCCCCAACGCAACTTAATTAACGAAAACAGCACCGTATAAACACAGACGTAACGCGGAACGAACGAGGCGTGAGGAGCGCCGACCCTACACTGAGAATCCCAATGGAACCCGGAAAACAAAAGCGGGACGGAGGCAGGCATGAGGAAGACCTTCACGGATGACGTCACCATCCCCCCCCAAGCAGAAAACGGAAAGGGTAGAGAGGTACTCACTCGCTCCGAGTGACCTTCAGACATTCGTTAGAGGATAGCGAAAGAACCTTCAAATGCATCCGCAATTCCCCCTCATGCGAATCGAGTCATCGAGCACTCAATTAACACGCAAGAGTTAACATCCAGTTAGTAGTCAATTAGCAGCCGGTTAGCAGTCGATTAGCAGCCAGTTAGCAATTTTCGTGCAATTGTTGTGCTATTTACCGGGAGAGTCGTTCGGCGGAATCCGACGTCTGCACGGCCGTTTCCCTCTGTCAGAAAGAGAATCATCATCACGTGTCACCTCACATCGATCGCGATACGGGCGCCGGATGCAGAAGATGGGATTCGGCAGCACTGCATCCAGCATTCCCTTTGTATCCGTTCCCCGTATTGTAGAAAGTCCTCCTTTCCCCTCCCCCATCGCAATGAAATATTCATCCGCCATTAATCCATCCCGGGCTAGAACCCTCGCCACTCTCACTTCTCTCAAGTGCGTACGATTCCCTTGAGGGGGGAGCGGGGGGGGGGGGGGGGGGGGGGGGGGGGGGGGGGGGGGGACGATCACAGGAAATGAATGAATAAAGCCACTCACCTCTCAAGGACATTTACTCTCCTCTCGTAGCAGCGTATTACATTTTTTTTTCGTTTTGGAATTATTTATGTTCTCATTTTCATTAATTTTGTATCTACTTTCACTTTCATATTCGTTCTCATTTTGATAACGATTTTTATGTTCTTATTATACCAAATTATGTAAAAAACGTATTTATTTTTTAACCGCAGTATCCATTTGACACCGTGCATTCCGTCGAACGTTTACCCTCAGGGCAAACCCTTCCTAACGGCCTTCCTAAAGGTCTTCCCTATTCCCATCCTGCAGAAACCGATCCTCCGCGCCCGGCAAGGAGACTAAAGAAGACTGGAAGGGGACTAAAGGATGCTCGAAGGGGACTAAAAGGAGGCTCGAAGGGGCTCACCCTGTCGAGGGGGAGATGGACGACGTGGACGGGGCGACGCTCGCCTGGCATCTGTCACGGGCATCACGTACAATTTTTTGTCACCGTCGCTCGAGGTCACGGG